ACAGAGTCTTATTAATCAGAAATTATGGAATGAAATAAAGAAAAGCTAACAAAACTAACTGAATGCAAACTCACCTTTGTTACATAAAAAAACCCACATAAAATAGTTATTTAGTATTGCCAAATGAGTTATTGGACCAAGACGGGGCAAATGCATATACTCATGCTTTATTATTTCTATCCCAACAGCACATACAAGCCTTTGTTAATGACAAGGACATCATCACAGTAGACTTTAGACACAAAAAAAAAAGATCACCAATACAAGAATCTCACAATCAAAAAAGTTAGAAACTAGGCTAATGCAATTTACTGTCTGTTTGTCATCTTCAGAGATCTGGGTAACCAACCAGTTGCTGATTTTAGAGATAATTCATTTAGAAAATAACTGCCAAAATCACATGGCTTTACAATAAATGCAGAGAGGTATCTGCCACAAAAGCAGTTCCTATCAGCAACCCCTGAAAAAATGGTCTACTCAAATTTTAAATTACTCCTGTAGATAAGAAATATTTACAATGAAACTTTTTTCATAGTCGTTTCATGCAGAGTAGTACATTTTGCTGTTTAACGAGCTTTGTAATTACTGATTTCAAGGATTATAAATACTAGAGCTGAACAAGAGAGTTAAATACATTTTCAGCTGCACACAAATGCTCATGAATATATTTTCACTTATGAAGCCAGCTTCATGGACAATTAAGTAATATGTCTGCAAACAACACATTCAGCTAAATCTTAAATAACTCAGTGTTTCAGCTCTAACTGAAGGGGATGTCTCCCATACTTTAAAATTTTCACCTGGCAGGTACACTGAATATATACAGACAGGAGACCATGCCTCATGGTTAAGGATTAATATTGCTTTATCTTAGAAATTAAGGTTTTAAAGAAGATTAAATATTTAAGGCAGAAAAAAAAAATTAAAAAAGCTTTACTCATTAAGCTTTAAACACCATCTGAACTATTTTGGCAAGTATAATATTTTTTCCCCCGGTGTTTCTAACCTTTTATGTTTCTGTCAAAATTAAAATTAATCTAGACTGACATCATCCATTCCAGACTAATTTCTAATTCTATAGCCTTGAAAAACCCTAAACTTGGTGGAGAGAAGTTGTGTAAGTTCAATATCTGGAAATTGCAAAGCATTAAACTGGGAAAATAGATAGAAGTGCAAGACTTAGGAATGTTGTTCAAAGATTGTGACTGTGGAGTTGAGTGAGCCAGGAAGAGACAAGGAAGGAAAAGCTTAGTGGAAGGACACCAGAGAGCTCAAAAGAATAAGAAGACCTGATGAATGGAAGCAAAGACTTTAGGAAAAAACAACTTCAACAAAACAGAAACAGAAGACTCAAAAATACTATTTAAGTGACAGAAATGAAAGGGAAAAAAAACCAGAAAAGACAAGTAAAATATACAGCCATGCAGTGGGTTTTGTTGTTTGGGGTTTTTTTAATAAAGTTTGTTTTATTCAACTTTTGACTCTCATTTATTGGTAGCTTGGCCGGTTTTGGCTAAAATAGTTACTGATTTCCCCTTTCTTTTCCATCCCCTGGACATTAAAAAAACCCCTCAATACTTTCTAGAAAGATATCTCTACAAACATACACACACAATTTAAAAAGATGACAGGGATAGTGGGCCAAAATGGTTACACTCAGAAATACCGATTTATTTAAGAAATTAATTCTCATAGACATATCATAATATGAAATTCAGGAGAAGTGTAACGCAGTATGACACACAATATGGGGAAACTATCCAAAGTCCTAAGAAAATATTTCCCTCTGAAGAAAGATTGCTGCCATCAGTGATGCAAACTAGGTGATCTAGTGTCTATCAGATCACACTGGAATTAATTTTAGTCAAATAGACTTTTTTAGACTCTAAAAGGAGAGAATTAGGATGCCTGTCTAGTGTCGTTCTTGGCATCTAGAAAATGGCTCTGTTTATCCTGTCAATCACTTCTCCTGGCACAGAACAGGCAGTACAACACACAAAACCACCACAGTAATTGCATGTTATCTGGGAAACTGCACCCAAATTCCCCAGTGAGCGCTTCCCTCTCAACTGCCACCTTCAGCACTTTCAAGAGAAACTTCAGCTCACAGCTGGGCATTTACTGATGTTCCATCTCACACTGTCCTAGTAATTTTCCACTGTAAAAATGACTGACAGCCCTACCTAGAGTGGGATTTCCTACCTTTTATGCTTATTTTATTTAATTTTCAGCCCTATTTTTGCTGGCTCCACTGGATACTTACACAGTCAACATAAACTAAGCCCACCCAACTGGTATGGGTCCCTGCCAAAAGACAATGTGTTAGTTTCTTAGATTGACTGGTAGAAACCGGGTGAAAAACGGTGTGGGGAAGTAGCAGAGCATGGAGATACACGACATAAATGTAGGAATTAAGGCATGAAATACAAATGCTAATCAGAGCTTTTCCACTTCTGCACTGTAATACTGCGTGAAGATAGCCTCTTCACCAAGGGGTGAGAGATTTGAACTCTCTAGCTAATGGACCAGGTCTCAAAAGCACCCTAATTATCACCTGATTCTTTGCCTTGTTTTATTACTTCAACTGCAATTCACAAAGACTCCAAATCTGGTATAACTCAAAACTATCCCACTGTAAGCAATTTTTTGAAATCTGACTTTGATCTATTTCTATATTCATATCCCATTTATGAATAACATTTAGCAATAATCCTATCCTTGTGCAATCCTTTGCACTTCTTTAGCTTCGGTCTCAAGACTGTGTAGCCCCATGGGTATCTCTGTCAATTGACACTACTATAATCCCATCTGATAATTATAATGTAAAACCAGAAAAGAATGCAAAATGGATTAATTCAATTCAAATTCTCTTTTAAGTGAACCTAGCCTGTGAAATGCACTGTGGCAGGGTATAATTTTGGTAAGTCCTTCAAAAATTTTATAAAAGGATCGGCATCTATTCTAGCTAAAATAAAAGCAAAATAGTAAGTCATCTAATTAGGATAGGTCAGGATACACTTTCCACAACATAAATGTAACTCTGCCTTGCTTCTCCCTGACAGAATCTGGAGGAAAAAGTTCACTTTCTTATGCTGCTTCCCCTAGACAGAGACTGGGTGAAAATCTGCATCAACAGATACCACATGCACAAACAGATGAAACAAGAAGGTTTTCTTTAGCTTTGTCTCCTTCCTCCCTCAAACTAACGGTTAATGGAAAACACTAGTAAAAAAAAAAAAAAGGTACCAGAAAAATTGTACTTCCACTTGTAAAATCCAACTGGTATTGTCACTATGTGCCATGCTGTAATGAATAGTTCATCAGAAAATTCTGAAACACCTGCTTCCCTCTTCATCTTCTCAGTAAAGAGAAAAAAGGATGACAGCTTGAGGGGTCACTCTAAATCAGAACCTGAGACTCTCCAAGAACTCTTCTCAGAGAATTCAAGAAAAGTTTCATACATTTCTTTTCTCAGGGATAGTGGACCAATGGCCATAACTATAGGTAGGACACAGAAATTGATGTTTAGAAGGAGACCAATCTATAAACCATTTGAAAACACGTCATTCTTCAGCTACCACATGGAAAATTACATGTTTGGTGTCAGCCTGTTGCTCAGTCAAATCACAGTCAGTTCTTCAGGAGAGAAAGGGTATCAGTTTCTGTTGACCAGTGTTTAGAAGACAAACATGGGATTGAAGATGAATACGGAATATCTAAAAGCTCTTCTAAGGAAACAGGAAAATACATGAATTGAGGGGTAAATGCAAACTGCTAAGAAACTACACTGGCAGAAAAAAGTCAAGATCAAGGTTGCCCAGGAAACCACAAAAAGTGCCAAAAGCTTTGAGTAAGAACTTCACAGAGGCCCCGTAAATTCAGATGTCACTGTAGTCAGACTCTAGACTTTCCAGCTCTTTTCAGAGGCCCTGTAAACTCAGATGTCACTATAGTCAGACTCTAGACTTTCCAATTCTTCTTGTTAGGGAACTGTGTCAGTTAAAATGGTCTGAATTTCCATCAGCCATCTAAAGGATACTCTTCACTTTACTTCCATCAGAAAAGACAAGAGATGAGTCCGTTTGTCTTTAGCATTGTGTGACATTATTTTTTATAGTGGTCTGAAGGAGAATCAGGTAAGCAGAAACAGCAATGATTCAAGCAGAACTAATGCTTTGAAATGCAGTCATCGGCAACCTCATCCAACAGGCTACTTGGTGACAAAGCACACCACTAGACAATCTGTGATTGCATCCTCACTGCACATTCCACCAACAGATCGCAAACCCTTAAGTTTAGACATTGTTACACAGCCATTTCGGTTGACTTTCAAGAAGCCTCTTCCTTACACAGACAACAGGCTCCTTACATACAGCAAGAATGTAATACTTCTGAAATGGTTTCTGTCTTTATAGGTCTGCATAATTGTTTTCATATTTAAATTGTACACATTTGAGTGGTATGTGATACATAGATGCTTGAAAGCCTGATGTAGATAGTTATTTGTCATGTCTACCAATAAGGCTTTTTAGATATTTTTACTAAGGTAGTTGTATAAAGTCAGGATGATAGTGATCTTTAAATAAGTTCCCAAAATACAGTTGGACAAAAAATATGAGACGACATTTAATTCTCAAAAGTAACCACAAATCCAGACATGGGGCACAGCCTATGATAGGATGGCTTTGGGCAGTTCTGAAAGCTCATTATTCACCCAGATCGTGTCAGTATTCCAGGTGAAATAATGCCATAAAAAGGATCCTCCAGTACCACTGTCAGACAGCCCTGCTGCACCCTGGGGAAAGAACGGCATGATGGTCCTTCAGCACCAAAGCCACCATATAGTGAAACTACAGTGTCAGGGAATGTACAGTATGTATTATAAGGTAGCTCACTCAACGAGGGGAAAATGTTTAGGACTTCACCTTCTACCACACAAAGGCTTTTGCACGTACTGTGTCCACCACACATTCTGAAGAATGAAGCAATGAATATCTCACCTTGCATCGTTGTTTTTGTGGGTTCTGAAAACAGAGGAATGAGCAGGAGGTAGATGAGGTAGACAAAGGAGAGCCCATTGTAACGGAAAGCACAGGCTGCAATAAGAGAAAAGAAAAAGAACATATTGCTTAATGAGCCTGGCATAAGCAAATTCAATTGCACAAAGCATTTCCCATTTGAAACTACTAGTTACCTTACTAACTTTTCACCACTTATTTAAACCATTTCTACACAAGTATTCAAGTTTATGTTTAAAATCAATAACAATTAAATACTCTTCTGAAGTATTTTTTGAGAAATATATATTTTGAGTTTTGCACAAAAGATGCATCGAAGCTACAAAGACTTTGTCCAGAACGATAGACAAGTTAGCTGTTATCTAAACATTTCACTTTCCTCAGACAAACTCATTAAACCATTCCCCACAAAAACATATAGGGATGCATCAATCAATATTTATGGGCTCTCTTTAAGAAGCTACGTAAAGGTCGTTATATTACAATTAAGGATTATCGGTAAATAATGAAGAAAAATGATGAAGTATATTCAGATTTCAAATTACAGCATGCCTAAAATCACACACTCTTCTTAAAACAGCAATGTCTTCAAATCACTACAGAGGTGGGCAAACCCATTTGTTTGCTCTCACAAAGTTCTTCTAGTGAAAAGATTGTGAACTACAAATGAAAAAGTGCTTCACAGCAACTTGGAACTGGCGTTACACAAGTTTTTTTAAAGACTGAAACTACTCTGCTAACTTTGTCTAGTATTTCCCTTCCAATTTTAAAAATCTAGTGTAAGTGTATTCTTCTGAAAGTATCCAGGTCAGCAGGCCACTACAACAAGCAGCAATATTGCTATAACCAAGGCACGTCTTTTCAAAGAATGTCATGCATACTCTGAGCTGAAAGAGGAGTGTATGGACTTCCATACAGAAAGGATAAAAACAACAAAAAATGACTAAGTACTCTGTAATTCCACTGTACAGCAGGTGTTGAAATATTATGAGACACACCACACTCAACCATTCCCATAAGATAAGCTATCTGCAGAGGTGTCCGGAGATGAATTAACCTCTACATTTATTTACTCATGGAACATAACTAGTATCAATTAAGTCTTTCCAGCTATATCCAAAATAACTTGGTTTTGGAGGACAGACACAGCCCTAGTCTCGCCAGAAACATGTATCCCAAAAGAAAAAATGTTTCTCCGGTCACCACTTCACAAAATTTCATGGTGACTATACTGGAAAGGAGTTAACAACGTAGGCATTAATTGGTCCTCATCACATCTGTCCATTTTATTTATAAATACAAAACTGAGAAGTCTCTTTAGTAACAAACAAATCCATACAACAGCTACAATTTTTGTTTTCCAAACTAACTAATGTTTTGAACAACCGACTCAATTTCCTTAATAGCCCTGATAGAAAGACTCTGGATCTACACTCCACATCTGCAGCTGAGCCAAGAAGTGTGTGAACTTTATGGGTACATCTGGCAAGAAGGAAGGTCAAGAAGCATCTATGCCTTACTTCTAAACTGACACTTGCCTTCAAAAAAATCTGTCAAGGACTACAAAATCCATTGAAGCTCGATAGAGGGTTTTTCTGAGTAAAATCCAGACGGCTTAAGAGCAGCTTCTCATTCACCTGTAAGAATTTAAACTCAGACTGCTCCTGCCACTTACTACTGCAGCTCTCTTTATAGCCACAGCCTTTAAAGGCCATCCAAAGAATTACACCTACACTTGTAACTAAGGCAAACTGCAAGGTAAAGTAAGTAGGACCTATGCCACTGGGAATTCTGTAAGCAGTTATCAGAGCTTCAAAGTGAATGTACTCAAGAAGAGGGAGTCAGCCCCAGTGTTACGTGCCTCCTCTCAGGGTGCTCTGCAGAGGAGCACAAGGATGTGCTATGGCCATTAGTGGCCTTCTTGGAATGAATGGCAAAGGGAACACTCCTGAGATCAGGATTAATCCCTCAATCAGCACGTCTGCAAGTTTAATTTGGGATGGAAATAAGGTCTTTGGCATTGACAGACAAAGGTACAATAGTGGTTAAAGGCTGATCCACAGACTGAAGGCTTTTCCACTGCTATTCAAGGGGAAGGATCGATGTTCTCAGTCATGCTGGTAGCAGAAAAAGAGTACTAGCAGGTAATACTATCATCCACTTATTACAGGGATTCTGTCAATCAACTTTAAATAATGTTTAACAGCTTACTTTATTTCAGTGCAATATTATACACATTTTCCTCTTTTTTCAGAACTGAGCACGCTACACTTCTTGTAGAGCACCTAGCACTCCATTTTCTTAGTACAAAGACAGAAAACAGCAACTCTGTGCTTTATGAGCCTTATGTCAATGAATGCCTTGCTAACAAGTCCACGTCAAATATTTGGAACCTCTGTATCAAAGCGTCCTCTGGCAAACTAGTAACCTTGGCTAGACACTGCCTGGAAAACTTACATTTATTTAAGCAGTTGCAAGAGCACCAGAAATACACTTCTCAGAATTAATAGATTAAAAAACCCAAAACTTAGTTGCAATATGTTTAAGTTCAGTCCTTTCACTATTTCCATATCATGTTTATCTCCATTTGTCTAGTACATTTTGCTGAAGACATTAGTGCCTTACCAAGCTAACATGCCACAGCAGAGAGCCAGGATTGAACATACTTTTAGCAACATAAAAGATTAGAAAACAGCAGCTGCACTGTATTTGCATGTTTACACCGCACTGCAACATTATTTATGAAATATATGTATTCCTAAATTCTGATACTTGAAACTAGCATCTAGAAAAACTTGCTGGGCATAAAATCAGCTTCAGTTTGTCACTGATACAACAACAAAGGATGATATCCAAAAAAGCAAATGAACCCATCCTCTGCACTCCCTCTGGCATTCACAAAGGTCTGCTTTTGCAAAGGCAGATGTATGCAGATGTCCATCACAGTGGAAAGTCCCATTTGAGGTCAATGGAATTCCATCAACAGAAAAAGCACCTACACAAATTAATTTCTTGGCAAACCAGGTGATATAGAAATTTCTGGGTATGTGGGTTACATTGGTCAGTTTGCACTCTTCAGTTCTGTATCACAAGTAACGTAATTTTAGTGTTTTAGGCTTGTTACCCCTTCTCAAAATTGTCTAATTGATTAGTGAAATTTATTTTACAGGAATTATTCTTGAATTATACTTACCTCAAATTTTACCGCTTTCTATTTCTAGACCTGAGGAGACTGTGTTCTCAAAAACTACTGTTCTCTGCAACTATGTAAACCAGACAAGTAGAGACTACTTCTCCATACAAACCTTCCCTTATATATTTTTTCATATAAAGTGTTCTGCAAAAATATTAAAATATTTTAAAGACATCTGATTAAAAGAAATATATCCTCCTAAGCTGAAAGTGTTAAATTTATTAGTACCCAGGAAATGCTTCAGTTTTAGTTTCAGAAGAATGGGTTTGCCTAAAAGGAACACTGAACAAAAAGCTTCCATAGGTAAATATACCATACATGCAAAGTCCAGATACACTTTCTTCTCTTCATTTTTTTTTAAACTACATTTCTCACCGTGTTTTCTAACAGCCTCTAGTAACAAAACTCCAGAAACACAATTTTCATCTCTCATGTTCTGCTGCTGTTCAGAGTCCAATGATAGCAGTAATACACATATTGTGAAAAGATATAAAAAAAAGAGCTATTGATATACCGCATATTAATGTGTTAGAAGTAAACTTAGCTTTCTCATAATCAGCTGAAGTACTTCAGGGCACCTTCCCTTGGATGGCAGGAAAAGAGTGCTTTATAACATGTAGGATTGACTTCTCCATTCATAGGTGAGTATTTGAAATATTTTTGCTTTAATGCATAGCGTGCTAAAAAAAATACTACCTTTAAAGACATGATCAGAATGTCATCTAAGACAAAAATTATGATAATTTCATACATCTTCATAAAATAGCTGTCAGAAAGAAATAGTAGCACACATGCATAAAATTTTCACAAAAGACTGACATGCAAGTTATTCGTAGCAAAAAATGACAGCTGTAGAATATTTCATCTTTCTGGCATCCGGTCATTTGTTCACACAAATGAAAAATTATGGTCACAGATAACTGATGCTTTTCTCTTTCACCGTATCTGTAAATGTATTTATAATTCACTAATCTTGCTACAAGTAACACATATCTCAAAAAAAAAGACAAACAAAGAAAAAAAATCTCTAAAGCCTGCTCTGCTGACATGTTCTGGGACTAACAGAGATCAGCTCCAAACACTTAAATCTTGAAATAAAGAACACATTTTAAAATATTTTACAAGATTTTTTAAAAAGAGAGTGTAATAATTACCTCATACAGGTAAAACTACTCAGGTGAGAGTATTAGTTTTATTATAATACAAAATCTTTCCTATTACGCTACAATTGCTAGAGCAAAAAGGTGTGTACAAAGCCTTAAAAAAATCCCCAGTGATGAGTAGTATTATTAACAGGATGATCCATAACTTCTATTAGATAAAAGTATCAGAGTATGTTAGGTTTAAGAACAACTCCTTAGACAGCCTTAGACAAGAACTGAGTTCTTCTCTTTTTGAAATCAAGAAGAGTTGACATTACACCTGGGAACTTATAGATTGCTAATATTAAGGGCTGCTTTTATATTTCTCGGCATAGTCAATAAAAAGTCAATATTTCAGCACTAAAAGAGGGCATTCATTATTGTATGTTGCTTTTTTCTAAATTAAAAAAAAATTGAAACATGCATTTCTCTGAGATTTCACAAAGTCATTGCCTAAAATTCTGTGCATGCTCTTAAATGAGATACCTTTTAAAATTATGTTTCCTTTTCCTTTATTAGACAATACACTTTTAAATGCCCCTGACTGTGGTATATACATGCTCTGTACATATGCATTCCAAAAAAAAAAAAAAGGGACTCCCAGACAGTCCACAATTTATGGCTTGTTAAGGAACACAGATAACTTTCGCTCAAAACATTTTGTTTTGAACCACATCGTTAATGCAGAATTAGAAAAAATATTTTTTCAAGTTTTTATTACAATAAAGTTGAAAGATTTAATTCATTCTTCATACATATGTACAGTATGCACCATCCAAAAATAAAAAGGAATCTTAAAAAAACAGAAAATCATAAATCACCTGACATCCTGTAACCTTGTCCTTCTAGATTTTATTTTTCATTAGTATATGATCGCCAAAGAAGAATGCTTTTGAACTTAAAGATATCTACTACTGCTTCTTAGACTCACCACCAAGTTTCTACATGTAGATATTGGGTTTTTCCAACTTCAGAATTCTAACAGCTACTACACGTTATCATTTCACATTTATACCATCAGTTCTTCCCTTTCTTCTACTTAAAGAGGATAATTTGTATAGAATTTGTATTTTACCTGTTAAATAAGAAATGCTGGAGAGCAAAGTGGGTGGCGATAGAGATACTTGCACTGAGCTTGACCTTGGAACTGAGAAAAATATAGTCCCACAAAAGATGTGTTTTGTTTTATTCTACACATATTTTAAAAGGTATTCCATTCAAAAGTGGAAACTACCTGTTCAAACAAATCAGCCTTTAGGGGTGTCAAAGGGCTACCGACTTCTCATTTGTAAGCCAGAATTGTGTCAAAAACCATGACAACAGACAATATGAAGGACAAGTGAAGACAGAATTAGCCATCCACTCATTATTTCTGAATTTATTTTACTAAAAAGGCATTAATGTTAACAGAATGACGTATCACTTGCTATACCCTTTTCTGTTCAAGAACTATGTACAAACAGTTTTACCACATATTTCTATCATAGGCTTGAGAATATTATACATCATTCTTAGCACTATCCTCTCCAGACTAACGTGCTCATGCTAATGTGTGCATTAGGATGAGAAGGAATTGATTCAGCCAACTAGAATGAAATCATGTGTCTTCTACATTCAGCAGGATGTTGCATAGTGTTTGCATCCTATTATAACAACTTCACAGCTGCAAGATTCTT